TTGTGGAATCGTAATGTAGCAATTTTGCTGTGATATATCGTATGTGTTTTTTTATAAATTACGTACTTATGCAATGCATTACATTTATTAAGAAAAATTTAAAATTTAAATATAATTTTTAATGGAATTTTGCAGTAAAATAAATTTTTTAAGCGCATATTTAGCTACTTTTATATCTTTCGATGATTTTAATGCTTTGATTTCAAGCCTAAGTATGAAAAAAACTATGATAACTATGTTGAATACAAATTTTTAATAAACTGTGTACGACTTTTTTTAATGATATTTTTGGTCAATAATAGCTATAATTGATTTTTATATAGAGAAAAATGGAATTGTATTATATTTTGTTGTTTTTTTAGTGACCGTAGGTGGTAATTGGAAAATGTTGATTTTAATGAAAAGTATAACAACCATTTATTACATATTATTAATAGATATAATTGAATATTCACTAATTATAGATTACATTATAAATATTACAACAAAATAAACAGGATAATGGTTTAAATGCACAGTGTGAAAGTATAAAACGAAAATAGCTAACAGATGTAACGCGGCAAATAACAATAAAATAAACGTTTTTCTTTCCAGATTAAAACGTCGAGTATATTAGGTAATATTATATTATGCTATCAGCTGATATCCATCATGTGTGTATATGTATACACTTACTAAATTTGTTTGATCCAGCCGACAACATTGTCCTTCCCTAAGACCCAAACCATTGTAAATAATAATTGTCGTCGCATGTTTTTAATACTCATAAAATACAAGCGTGCATTATTTAAGTCAAACCTTCGCCTCTGCGTACGATAAAGTTCTCTACACGGTATTTTAAATGTATTTTTGTTTGAATTATTCCATATAATTTTTTATAAACTGTACCCGTATAATTATAGTTATATAGTATGGTTGCTATATATACATAGTTGTAAATAAATCAATAAGCGATGAAATGGTTTTTTTTTTTTATTTGATTAATAATCATAATAAATTTTATTTGTACACTTATAGAAGCTATATATGTTTTATTATTATTTTTTGCTAAATAATCAAAAATTATTAAGCAAGAAAAAATTGTTTACGTGAAAATTATAACATCAATATATATAGCTATTAATCTACATTCACCCCACACTTTGTTCCCTTAATCTATTCAGGTGTCTAATTTAAATGTAAAAACAAGTTTCATAAAATAATATTCTACTGAAATAGACTGTAATATTTTTTAAATTTTCCTTGAAAAAATGTTAACAACTTCAAACAAAAAATATATTTTAACGTAAGTTTAAATTAATATAAAAATTGTTTAAAACAAGCAAAATAATTCTGGAAACTCTAAGTATAATGTATTTATTTTAAGAAAAAAAAACCTAAAATGTGTTAACATAAAATAATACGACTAGAAGTCATGACAATCTATGGCAAATCAAATTTTAAGTATATAATTACCAACAAATGTGCAAATATATCAAATACCAAGTTCGGATTATAATATTTAACAGGCAGGTCTGATAATTAATTTTAATGACTGACCTCCACCCCTACTAAACATCATTAGCCACATCTCAATTATGTTGTAAGTTTACAACTAATTGATACTATTAATTACTGTAAATTTCTGTTTTATATCTCATTTCTTCAGTTTGTGATAAAGTTTTGAGTTTTTAAAGCCTATTTTTAATTATTTCAAAGTTATAACCTAATTATAATAAATTGAATTACATTGAATATCTATATTTAATGAATATATATGTGACATTTTTATATATTTTTATTGTCGTTGTTTTGATATTAATCGTCAATATTTTGAAATTCTCGTCGAATTTACAGTATTAGTGTATTTAGTTATGTTAAAAGTATCGGAAAGAATATAATTTTTTTTAACCGTAAGATGTAATAAACTTAATAATTGCTTTTTTTATTCCCTTCCATTACTCATTTATAAATGTTTATTAGAAAAAGTATCAATATCACATACATCAACGTGTACATATTACAGCCTTTAAATGTATTATATTTATTTGATAATGTCAGATAATCTGTGACTTAAAATAATTATATTTGAAATAACAAATAGACACGAAACAAACAATATTGGCACAAGGTAAATTATTCTATCTTGAAACCACTCTAATATTTGTGTTTCACTCATCTTCGATTTACGAGCAAAATCTACGTCGGTAAATCAAATGTACTTCATGTACACACATGACCTAGTATTAGCCACTCTCCTATGATAGTACAATGGCGTAATTTCAGTTTTTTTCTAAAGTAGGGTAGTCGACATGCTCTTATTAAATTGCCGACTCGGCGGCTCATTTTACCAAAGTGTTGATTAACGTGGAGGGAAGAGGACGTCAAACCAGTCCAAAAATGTAATGTGATTTGTACTTTGAACGTAATGACGTATGAAAATAAGTACCCGTACCACGTCTCATTTTTCTGATTTACAACATGTCAATAAAAAACTTATAAAAACCATATTTATATTTTGTTGATGTGCCGACTTCAGAATAGCTTAACTCTATACTGCGGCAATGCATGAATTATCCCCCTCCACTCCGCAAATAACGTCAATGTAATAGCTTGTAATAGCTCAATGTAGTTAGTAGTTTATCTATATTTGCTGTCTTAGCTCATTACTGCTTCATTGACCTATAAAAAGAAAACGGATATTTTTGTAAATATGTAAAATATTGTTTACCAATGTTTACCTAGGCCTACTACAGTATGTGTGTAATAAATAATACTTGCGGATATAAATAGTTGTTTTACTATTACTACGAATAATAAATACTATTATGAGAAAAATCTCACAGTGATATTTGTAATAAAATGTTCATAAAAAATCATTTAACTCGTAAACAGAAGTATATTTATGTTAAATACAACCTATATCCTCATCTATATGTGTTCAGAAAAATAGCATGCACGTAATATTATACATATTATCCAACTCGTAATCATAAATGTGATACATAATGTAACATCACAGAATTTTATATCTGGAAGACCCGTTGCATACTTAATTTTTTATTTATATAATTATGTTTTATGTGTAGTGTATATCTCTTGTCACCGATATTCTTACCAGGCATAACGTATTGCACTAATTTAATTATAATAATTACGATTATCATTGATCAAGGTCCAATAATAATAGGATGAACTATAATTGTTAAATTATATAAAATTGTCACTCTCCGTTCGACGAGCAAGCCGGAACATCAACATACAGTTTTCTTTATTAGTATTATTTTAAAAACTCAAAATGGAGTAGAAGAGTTTATTCTCTCCCGTGGCGTTATGCTGACGGGCAAATCATAATTAAACAAATTATGTATAAAATATATGTATATCTGATTATTATTATTATTATTATTCTATATATTGGCTGGTATAATTAAAGATCAAATGAAGATGTGTTCCTTCGGAAACGGCGGTCATTTATTATATTTCTGTCATGTTTTGTGAGCTTTTTATCTCATATAATATATCTTTACAGTTTTTTTTTTTAGATGGAGTTTTACGCCCGTCCGAGCTTTCTCCATTAATAAATTATACTAATATACCTAATACTCTCATTATAATTGTTTTTTTAATTAGATTTACAAAATTCCTTGTGTTTCAAAAGAAAAAAATATATATATATATAATAAACAATGTATAAAATCCTGTGTACTCCAATTTCAAAATCTCGGTTATATGTTGGCGACCGTGAACAATGGGTTCGACAATACGACAAATCGACATAGAATCGAGAAAAGTCGCAATCACATAACAATATAAAGTTCAAATTCGTTTGCTCATACAACAATATTTTTTTACATTTTTCGTGTTATTCTCATTAACATGTTTGGTTAATATCAATAGACTAATTGTTTTGAATTTATGATCAAAATTAAGTTTTTTTTAATAATATTTTTGCTTTAATTTTTTTAGGGTTTTTGTATATTCTACACGAATTATGATTGTATTACATTATAAACGGTGAATAACTAATATTAAGATATAATGCGTGTTACACGCATTATAGGTATAATTTTTGGTTATTTTCTAACTCTTCCGAGGCCATTCCCGACATGAAAACATCTCTTGTGTTCATTTATGAAATCTTCAAAATTCGATACTGGTCCATGGACGTGTAACACAGATAAATTTGATTTCTCATGTTTAGAACTATAACATTCAATTTTACAATTGTATAGAACGATTTCAAGTTCAACTTAACTTCGTAAACGTAACGTTCGTATACATTATTTGAGCTCGTTTCAGAGGGTCGTTTAAAAAGAGGCGGTGCACATTGAGAGTTAAGAGAAACGTCAAATAACGGTTTTGAATCACAAATAATGTACGTCGATATTTTAAGGTCTACGGTACAGGAATAATAGTAGAAATAAGACACGCATAATAGTTAAACATAATAACATCAAATGCGGCGTGGAAAGAAAAAAAAGACAACCGGACGAAAATCGATGATAAATAGAGCGATCGGCAAGGTTATATTTTATTTTACCCGTGTCACCGAAGCCGCATTCAATGTGGAAACTCTTTTATGATTTCGGTGCATAGATGTGTACATGTGTATTTATTTTCGAGAAAAAGTGTTGGTAGTCTTATAAAACCCCGGTACACACATGAAGTATTTTGTTTTTTTTTTCCTACGTACGAGTGTCAAGCACATTATGCGGCGGCTCGGCTCAAAAGAGATTATAGAACAAGATGGTCGTAGGCGAGGGGACAGGGAAGAAAGGTGCGCATGTATATTATGCGTACAGTATTTTTTTCATCTTTCGGCGGCGGTCACCGATGAATAGTGAGAAAAAGATCAGTCAAACGCATAACATAATGTGTACATAAAGCTGGGTGCGCTAAAGAAACGGAGAGAAGGAGAAAAAGAGAGAGAGAAAGGGAATTAGAAGTCGGACCGTTTGGATTTGTATACCTGTACGCGTGCAGGTAAGACATTACCGTCCGTGCTCGTACGCGTGTGTGCCCCACTAACGAGTCGGCGGCGAGGTGCGCTTTTGATCTCTCACCGCCGCCCGCTTGTGAACCGAAACTCCGCCCTGCGCACGCCGACGCCAACCGGCCCGTTCCAATCCGCAGCCGCGACAGGGTGGATAGCGGGCCCCGGTGGGGGTTGTGTACGCGCACGTTTTTCCTTTTGCCTCCCACCGCTCCCCACAAAGGACAGCGTGACGCACGCGCGCACACGCACACGCACGCACGTTCCTGCCGCCCTTGGCGAGAGCGACGAAACGTCACCGGCACAGAAGCGAACCGCAAGGCGAACCGTTACGTCCGCACTTGCAATCCGAACGCTCGTACCACCCGTTCATCACACAAATACACCCCGGAACACCGACACGTGACGAAGAGCGTGACCACAGCTGCAGCGACACGCGACGATCGACATGTACAACAGGGCGGCGACCACACTGGTGATGTGCGCGGCCGCGCTGGCCGCGGCCACCGCGCACCGGCTCAACACCGACGCCGTGTACGAGCTGGCCGACCTGGCGTTCAACCGGCTGGTGGCGCACAACTGCTACGAGCTGTACGACCCGGAGAAGTGCAATGAGCTGTCCGACATGTCGGCCAAGGACGTGCGCCTGTACTTCGGAGGCATGCTGACCGACAACGACACCGTGGTGGCCGTGCTGCCCGACAACGACGCGCAGCTCACCGGCAAGCCGCACGACGCGTTCTTCGTGCTCGACCCGTTCCCAGCCTACAAGTTCGGCCATCCAATGTTCATGTTCTACGTGGACATCGGCGTCACCGTGTGGAAGTGCGAGGACACCGAGGGTATCTACACAGGTCTGTATGCCGTAGTTGTAGTTGTAGTTATGACGGCGGGTAGTTAACTTTTTGACGATAACGATATATCATAGATATTATTGTTGGTATTGTCGCGCGCTTTACGGATGTTGTGACCAAAAACGTTTCACTTTACGCGTTCCGCGTGTAACGATAATGATACCGGTTCGTTCTCGTACGTCCGGGAAGGATAAACGCGCGCGTCCTTTTGCAATCCTTCGTATGCTCATCGCGGCCCGAGGTACCGGATAAGAACACGATCTGTTCCGTTTGCCCGAAAGACCGACTCCGTTACGTCACCGAGCGTTTTTCTTTTTTTTTATCCGGTCCACGAAGTCCTCTTTGCCCGTTTGTCAAACGTATTTTCATCGATTCGCTGCGGACAGTGCAAACTAAGTCCGTTTTTCGGTTACCCTACTACCTTCTGCGCGCTCCGTCGTTCTATAATGATGCCGGTTGGCAAATTTATTTCGGTGAACACTCTTAAGTCAATTCTCAGCTTTTAGAAAAATCTCAATCACCGGCTGCAACGCCATAGATGTTATTGACGTTGAGTCGCTGAACGAGATTCAATTACGTGTTCTAATTTTCCTCCGTTGATATGGTTCTGACGTTTTCTTGTCATAAGTACGACATAACTCTCGCATCGTCCACCGATTAATACTAGAAAAAACGTGTTTTTCCTACCGACTACGCCTAGCCCTGTTTTCGCGTGGTACGAATTTGTCATAAATGTCTATCATATAATTAATAATATAATAATTATGTGTTCGATTCAACAGTGGTAATATGTCCGACAACATTTCTTCAACACATTACGATAAGAAATATTTACAATTTTTCTATTTGTACTCGAGGGATTAAATATAAAAAATATTATTATTCTATATTGGCCTGACGTTTTATGTAAGAGTTAGGTTAGTTTTAGTCAATTTAATTTGGTCGTAGTAATAATAATCTCGTGTATATGCAAGTATATTAGTGAGTTGTAAGGACTAAATGTTGATATCGACGCGTACAATAAATGTATGTATACCTTAAATTAAAACATTGACTTTGTTTTAAAGATGTATCATAATCGGTTGAAAACCAGAATGGAGTCTGATAAAATTCGCACTATAATTTATAATATAAATTGTTTTATGTTACACAACGAAGCGTTTATAAACAGATCTTCCGAGTCCTATTAAACAATTTAATTTCTCATAAAAACAAACTACAAACGTTGTCTGTATTTACTTCACTTATTAGTTTATTATACTCAGTGGAAAACGTATTATCTTATCAGATGTTTTTTTTTTTTAAAAAATACTTTATTAGTACATCAAGAATGTAAAAATTTATATTGGCAAAACTCAAGTACAATATAATTCAAAGTCCGATTCCCGTAACAATATTAATATCATTTTGTTTTATTCCATGTTTGTATCAATCATAAACGGTGTGCAAATGTATTATTTATACATATATATATATACATAATTGTTTCTTTTGGTTTTTCAGCGCGACCGACTCTAAAAAAAATTTGTAAAAAAAAAAAATCTCGTTTTGCTTTTTCTTAACTCGATTTATTCATAAATCACTAATTCATAGTTTCGTAAACAGAATTCTGTTTCTGAAATCCGTTCATCGGACTTATATCCCACGGCGCTGCTCGCAAACGAACGTTTTCTGCTCCAAACCCTTGTGATGCGATAATATTGTAGTCCAAATACGGTTTACTAGTACAACCTGGTTTCGGCCGAAGACCGGATTTTAACGGTAATCATCCGTGCCACGTGTACGGATACATATTACGCGAATACATAATGTGTGCGGCACCTATACACGCGTAATACGCACATTTACGCATTCGTGTATGAAATCGCGCCTAAAGTGAAAAAAAAGAAAAAAAAACCCGATTCATTATGTACGTGTTGTACACGTTATACTTATTTTCCCATCGTTCTTTACATTATATTTTGAACGATCGGCGGCGGCGGCGGCGGCGGCGGCATTCGGTAATCGGCAAAGCTCCACAAAGAGCTGCGGCGGTGGGCCAGGGGGTTAGCCACGAGCCAACAGGTTTTGATGTGTGCCGCCACTGCCGTCGCCGCCCGGGTCTCGCGCCTTTGTGAGCCGCCGCCGCCGCCGCCGTCGATCGGTGTATAATAGTAATAATAAAAACAACGTATACGTCTCTGTTTTTACTATGCACCGACAACCGATGACGACATATTATACTATTATGATGATGATGATGATCATCATCATCATCATTATTATGTGTGCTAGACGGGCGCACCTGCTGCTACCATAAGTTATCCTTAGTCCTTAATCCTGCACACACGTATACGGCTCCTACTTATTGCGCGGCACCGTGTGTACGTGCGTGTGTTGCGTATATAGTTGTATTATAATATACGGCTCATGTACAATAATAATATTAATAATAAAACAACGTTTTCCCACCAAACGCGAACCCCGCGCGCCACCGCATTTCCTTATCGTGAGCAAGGATTAAACCACGTTGTTGTTAATGTAATACTTAACCACTGCGTACATACATTACTGCATTACATACACAAAACGTTGTACGTCCATTTCAACGTAAATCTTTACATAATATGAATATAATACCCATTCCGCTGATCCGACAGCGTTCGTGTATTAAGATCGAAAAATTACGATTATTACGATTATAATGTTTCACGTTTGTATGTCGTAGTTTAAGAATAAATGAATTCGCCACGGGATACTCGGACCGTTTGAATATTATTAGGTATCGTTATCATTATTCAACCAGTTTGTAATACGATGTACACGATGTAGTATATGACCTAACCCAACAATCTCGAGTGTTCCCGATCCGTTTACGCTGCAACCACTAGCGCGCTACAGTTTTTCCACTCCGTAAAAGTACAAATGCTGCTTAAGGTTTTTAAAAATTCGTCGATTCGACTCACGGTTAGATTAGGTTAGGTTAGGTTTCTTCATCGCGATGTTCATTACGTATTTTATACCAAACAACTATTGAATCATGAAAACATAAAATTGAATACAACTGTGTACATAAAAATACGCTTTCCACGTGTTATCCCCGTAGAGCATATTTTGTAATCATTATCATTATTATTTTATTATTATTGATTTGAATGGTGGTTTTGTTCAAACATTGTGATTTATGATTTTTACGAAAAAATATGATTTTACATTTATCTAAATACTCGTTTCATTACCCGACCCTATAGTTAATATTGTCAACTCGTCATCGAACAACTCAAACTATTTGTTTTATAACTATATTTACTGCATTTACTAAATTTATTATTTGCTTCTACCCACGTAATATACATTCAAACAATACTCTTAAAATTTTTATGTTTGTTACTTAAAATACACTATACATATGTAAACATAAACGCGTAGATACTATATCATTACGTAAATCGATATTAAAGCACGTAATTTTTAAATATTTACGCACAAATATATTAATTTTATTTAGCAAAATCAATATTATGTTATATCACTTTTGAAACGTACATTTGTATTATATTGTTTTCTGGTACAATACCGTTTATCTGTAAAATACGATTATATTATACAATTATTAAAGTATATGAACTTTTTATTTTTCGACACTTTTAAAGAAAATATTTACAACAAATTTTCAATTGACTATTATTCAAAATACCAGGTACTAGGTAGTGTTAAGGAAAGTTAGAGACAATTTTATTTCTTTAACACTAATACTCTAGGGCAGTGGTTCTCAATCTTTTTAGGACCGCGACCCAAATTTTCTTCCAAAAATCTATCATGACCATAGTTTTACATTTACAGAATCAATAAAAATAATTTCAAAAAAACAAATTTTTTCTATTTTATTACTTATTTACTACTTTATAATAATAATAATAATAATAATAATAATAATATATTTATAATAATAATAATATAATATAATATATATAATATAATACTTAATTAATAATTAGGCGTATGTGATGAATGTGCTTGTTTCTTACAATCTGTATAATTAAAAAAACTTCTAGCGACCCCCCCCAAAAATTGACTCGCGACCCCCTAGGGGGTCGCGACCCACAGTTTGAGAAACGCTGCTCTAGGGATTTTGGTTTTGGCTTATTCAAAACTTAAAACGTTATTATATTGCTAATTCGTGGTATATTACTAACGGCACTGTAATATGGTAAGGTGAAATCAAAAATAATGAACTACCCATCATTATGTAACAGCAGGTATATAATAAATTAAATTCACGTTGTTTAAAGTTAATATTTTTTATCAGAACTATGTTTTTATGCGAATAACTGTATAGGCATGCTCACAAGAGGTACCGGATGAATCTGGGCACCCCCAGAAATTTTGCAAATAGAGCCCAAAATTTATGTCAAAGTGTAAGAGATCCGTATTTTAACTAATGTTGCCTAAATTAAATGTAATTTTTTCTAAAATATTTGGTAAAAAATAAATTATATTAAGACTAAATGTTCGTGCAAAGACTTATTATGATAATATAACAATTACAAAAAATAAATAATTATAATTGTTTGAGAAAAATATACGAGATTCAAGGAAAAAAAATTTATTGGGGCTAATTACCACAATATAACATAAAAAATTAATTATAATTTATTTAATGTACCTACACGTATTCTTAAAATAGGGCCCAAAATTATAGTAAGCACCCCCTAATATATAGGTTTCCATACGCCTATGATAAACTGTTTTGGTAAAAATAAAACCATTTTGTATCTACGAGTTTTTGTTTGATTCACATCATTGTTACTTAGTATTAATATTACTTATATATATATATAATATCTCTATTTAATACGTATGAAATAAACTATATTTTCAAAATAGCATGTACTTCATTGATATAATTTTTTCTAATGTATTAAATATGCAAGAAAGGCAATTTTAGTTATTTATATATTAATATGAACATTGACTTGAAAAATTAACATCTAAATTTACCAGCATAAATCATATAATTA